CAACACCACCACCATTCTCATCACCATCATCATCAAGACCACCATCACCATCCTCACTGTCACCATCATCACCACCACCATCACCATCATCAACACCAGTGACACATGACCATCATCACCATCATGACCATCATCCTCACATAATCATCACATTACCATCAACATCATCATTAACTCCATCATCACCACAATCAACACCATCATCATCATCATCACCATCATCATCACATCATCATCACATTACCATCAATATCCTTACGATCACCATCGTCACCATCATCACCATCAACATCACATCATCAGTGTCACCATCACTATTTTCAGACCTGTCATGTGCTGAGGAATTTACATGCCTCATCTGAGTTCTCCCAGCTGTAAAATGAGCCTCCTAGGGTTGTGAGAAGGATTAAATGAGGTGATGCAAGTAAAGTGGGAGGAGAGGGTCAGATTGTGTTTTCAGCAAATATCAGGCATCCTCTGATGGGGCCTCAGGGTCTCTGTGCCACACTGTGCTCCTTATCTCCGACCTTCGCTTCAGGCAGCATCTGGCATCTGGCGCCCCACCTGGAATAATGAATAATCATAAAAAGTGTACAAAGGAAGTAAGCATTCAGGAGTTGTTTTATGTCCAGGAATCATTTAGGAAGTCATGAGCCTATGGATCTCAGTTCCTCAGGATCTTAAGGATAAATAACCACATGTCTCACTTCCGTGCCCTGGCAGGGAACTCATATCAGCTGCCAGGGACCTGGACCCCACCCTGGCAGACCTGCTGGCCAGGCAGGGGTAGGGGCAGAGGAGAGAGTCAGTGATTTGGGCAGCAGGATCCACAGGACACACCACCCTTAACCCTTTGGGTCCTGGAGCAACAAGCCCCAGATGATGGCTGTGGAAGGAGTAGACACAGATTCTGCCGGCCAGGGCTTTCCAGACCTCTTGGTGGGTGCGGTGGCCATCCTGCCCCAGCTCATCAGCAGCAGGAAAGCGAGGTTGTCCCCGCAGGGAGAGGCTGGTGGAACCCACCAGGGTTATCGGCTTTTTGCCATTTCCTGCTGCCCATTTTTATGAACAAATTGGACAGAGATGCAGGAGGCCGGCTTATCACATCTATGGGGACTGCAAGATTGGGAGAAAGAGCTAATAAACTGATGGCAGAATGGAGATGTTTAAATATTTCAACAGGACTGAACCAGGCTCACATCAGCATCACAGATGGAGGTGTGTCAGGATCTTCCTGTTCAAACTGTTTCTCCGGAGACGCGGTCCAGCATGCTCCCGTCATTTGCCCTGGTGTAGCAGCAAGTGCCCATGCTTGAGTCAGTGGGCGGGGCCTAGGCCTGGAGAAAGGCACCCCTCCCCTGCACGCCTCCTGCGAAGACCAGGCCGCATTCTGAGTCAGCCTCTCCCACCCTCTCTGCTCCCCCACTTCCTTCCCTCCCTCTTTCTTTCCTTCCTTTTCTCTCTCCTCTCTCTCCTCACCTCCCCTCGTAGACTAGACAGTAAGAAAAAAAAGACAACACTTTCCTTCGCACTGTAACAGGCAGCTGGTCTGTGGCCGTAATTTCTTGGCCAGGGTGACCATGCCGACCCCAGGATGGCCACGCTGAACCATTCAGGAGGCGGAAGAGGCAAGCCTGTGGGCCCAAGAACTGGCCTCCAGGCAGGGACAGAGGCACCAAGGCCAGTGGCCCGAGTTCCTCAGCCCTAGATAAACACAGGGAAGTCCGTTGTCTGCAAAAGAATCTGCTACCTGTAGAATCTAGCTGTACTGCGTCTGGTCTGGAGCATTTGCCGGAATAGCGTGCCACCCTGGGCTCACGGGCAGGGTCAGGAAGCCCTGGCACACGTCTCATGAGCGGTTCAGCTGCTCCGGCTCCGTGGCGGTTCTGGGGGAGGGGAGCGGGAGGGGGGCAGAGCTCAGGGCGGGGCTTGGCTCCCCTGATGCCTCCCAAGGGGGTGCAGGAGGCAGGGAGCATGCCCCTCCCCTCGCAGTGAGGAGACCCCAGCCCTGCCGTGGTCCCCCCCCCCACAGCCACTCCTGGGCTCGGGTACCCGGCGGGGCCCCTGGGGACAACGCCTCTCACCCTCCATATGATGTTGACTTTACTCTATTTTTCAGTATTAGGATTTACCTTTAGTACCAAGTTTTTCAGACTTAGGATGTAAAAAATATTTTTAGCAAGTTTGCCTTTGCTTTTGATTGACTCTAATTGAACCGATTGCTTTGCAGTCTGGAAGGCGTCCAGTGGTTCTGAACAAAATATTTTGTGGAAAAAGCTGTAATCCGCGATCATCACATGTTCCTATTAATCTTGTTTCAAGTTACAACAATGCAAGACTTGTTTCCACAGTTCTATTTTTAACTAATGAAAATTTATTACAAAGAAATCCTAATTATACCCTTTGGAGTGTGATGCAATGGCAAATCCACTGGCAATTTTCTTTTTTCAAAATTCCACATAATGGCATAAGAAGCAAAGAATGTAAGTTCTCTTGAAATCGTTGGTCTATAAATAAGATTCCCTAATGGGCTGAGCAAGCAGGTTGTTTTTCTTTGCACATTCTGTGTGAGGTTGGATTAATCCATATTATAACCCTGACGCGTGGCAACCCCTATTAGATGTAGCACATGGTATATATATAGCCCATGTCCCTGGCACGCCCCAAACTGTTAACCTGCGCGTCTTCACGGCACCCTGGTCAGAGCTGGGGAAGCTGCAGGCTTGGTGGGCGTCAGGAGCTGAGACTTCCCCGGTGGCACCAGTGGGAAGGAACCCACCTGCCAATGCAGGAGATGTAAGAGACTCGAGTTCGATACCTGGGTCGGGAAGATCCCCTGAAAGAGGGCATGGCCACCCACTCCAGTATTCTTGCCTGGAGAATCCCAGGACAGAGGAGCCTGCTGGGCTATGGTCCATAGTGTCCACAAAGAGTTGGGCATGACTGAAGTGACTTAGCAAGCAGCACCCATGACCTGGATGGTTGTCTCCTCCTCCCCACATGCGGGGTAGAGACATGCCCAGACCATCCTGTGCGTTGCCCTGGCCTCTGTTCCTACATGCTGGGAGCACCTTCTGAGCAGTGACAACCACAAATGTCTGCAGACACTGCCACAGGTCCCCCAGTAACAGATCGCCTGGGGAGCCCTGATCGTGCCTATATCAGGAAACCCAGACATGCGTGGTGTGAGTGCCTTTAACTCTGCAATTCCTGGGGAGCAGCGGGCTTTGAAATGCACGTGCCCTGCTGTTCTGGACCTGCAAGCGCCCAGGACGCTGTCCTGTGTGGGGGAGGTGGGAAGTCAGCGGACTCCTCCTAAGGACTGCTGGGAAAGGTGGCCTCCGACCAGATTTGCACCGGCCTGTTGAGGTCACTGCCTGCAGTCCTGGGCCTGGAGGGTGGGGGAGTGTTGGTGTGTTGTTCAGTCACTAAGCCATCCAACTCTGTAACCCATGGCCTGCAGCACACCAGGCCTCCCTGTCCATCACCATTTCCTGGAGCTTGCTCAAACCCATTTCCATTGAGTCGGTGATGCCATCCAACCATCTCATCCTCTGTCATCCCCTTCTCCTCCTGTCTTCCATCTTTGCCAGCATCTGAGTCTTTTCTAATGAGTCAGCTCTTTGCATCAGGTGGCCAAGGTGTTGGAGCTTCAGCTTCAGCATCAGTCCTTCCTATGAGTATTCAGGACTGATCTCCTTTAGGATGGACTGGTTGGATCTCCTTGCAGCCCAAGGGACTCTCAAGAGTCTTCTCTAACACCACAATTCAAAAGCATCAATTCTTCAGCATTCAGCATTTTCTATGGTCCACCTCTCACATCCATTCATGACTACTAGAAAAACCGTATCTTTGATTATGCAGACTATGATTTTGACTTTGTTGACTTTGTCAGCAAAGTGATGACTCTGCTCTTTAATATGCTGTCTAGGTTTGTCATAGATTGTCTTGCAAGGAGCGTCTTTTAATTTTGTGGCTGCACCCACAGAGGGATCTAGGTGTCAGAGCAAGGATGCCTTCTGGGCAGCAGGGGTCCAGTAGGCACCTCACAGGTGAGAACAGGCAGAGAGGGAGGAGATGGGGAGAGGTTGGGGGCGAGGTGCTGGGCAGACCACTCCCTGCAGGCCCACATCAGAGAGCAGGGAGGGTGAAGGTGGGAGTAGCAGTGTGTTTGGCCAGATGCTTTCTTCCAGCAGCGAGCATCAAGGTGCGGTAGAGGGAGGTTTCCAGGTGCTTCCAGCGTGAGGAGGAGAACCACGAGAACCTCCATCAGATGGGCAGTTGAACAAATGAAGCGAGTGGCCGGGTCGCTGCTTCGTGAAAGGGGGCTCTCTCCTTCCTCTCGGCCGCCCCGCCTGGCCCCTCCCCGTGCCCACGCTGGGCCCAGCTTCCTCCCTGCCCTTGTGTCTGGGCCTGGGCTGGGGCCACCCCTGGGCTCATGGTCACCTAACTTTCCCTGTCCTTTGCAGACCCCTCAGGGTGAGGTCCTGTCTCACTGCCACCACTAAATCCTCCCTTTTGGGATAAACCCTCAGACGCTTTCTGCCCTCTGGCTGTAGACAGAATAACTTCCGCATAACTGTCTTCCATGCCGTTGTCCAAAGTCAAGTCTAAAAGCCAAAGTGGAACCATGTTCAAGATGCAGTGACTCATTCAAGTGACAGATTCGCTCCGTTCGCTCGGGTGACAGCGGCCTCTGGCAGGGAAGCTTCGGGGCCACTCGGCCTCCTTCCCAGGCCATTCTGAGTGCTCTCAACCCTCAGGCCCCACCGAGGTCTCCCTCCGGCTGTGCTACCCCATTAGGGTTTCTGTTCCACTTTCTGCCCCAAACGCAGCCAAGCAGTTTGCATCCCAAGAGCCGAGTCTCATCGGAGCTGGGCTTTGCAAAGTGTTCAAAGACTCTGCTCCTTCCAGGGGCCTGGAGGGCTCTGAAAGGTTGCAGTGAGAATCAGGTGGGTCTCCAAGGCCCTGGTTGACTCTCTGTATCTTGTTCCCTGAAGGACGGAAGGCCACGTGAGTCCCAGGCCCCAGGAGGTGGAGAGACAGGACGGGGGCACCAAGACACCCCCGCCCCAGATCCTTCTGCCACTGGAGGAGCGAGCGACCCACTTCCGAGACATGCTTCTGGAGAGAGGGGTAAGGGAGCCCCACAGTGTCCGCCTCAGCGGGGTTGGGGGGCGTCCGGCCACCGCCCCCCCCAGGACCACTTCCCCTTCCTCACTGAGCTGCGGACAGGCTACGTGCAGCACATTCAGGCGCCAAAAGACACGCAAGGGACCAGTCCTAGGAGGGAGCCAGGCTTTGGAGGGTGTGATGCGTCGCGGGCAGTTCTTGCCACTTGTCCGTGGATGCGGCTGAGCGGTGAGCAGGTGCGGGTCTCCCGGAAGGGACGGTCCCCAGGACGCAGCGCTGGTTTGTGTCCATGGCCTTCCTGCAGGAGCCCAGCTGGCTTCTGACATCCAGGCCTCAACGAGACTCACCCTGCAGTGATCTCATTTGGGGAGAGGCTCGCACCCCTCTGGGTCAGCCCAATGGGTTTTGAACAGTTGGGATGTCTTAACGGTTGTTGACTTCTGAATCTCATTTGACTTGAAGGGGGACAAGCATTTTAATAATTGAATCCCAGTCCAATGATTTTATTTCCTGTTTTGGCTTTTGGGTATAAAATGAGCCTGATACAGTAGTTCAGCCCAGTTGGATTTCTTCATAAGATGAGCCTGAACGCAGAAGGCGGTGATAGGAGCTGGTGTGTAATAATTACAATGAACACTGTAAGTGGCCTTGGGAATGCAAAAGCAAATTCCCTCTGCAGTCAGCACCCAGGACAGGCTGCCTCCTGCGCGGCCCCTCCCAGAGCAGGTGCAGCCGCGAGCCGAGGGGAGAGCAGTCTGCGGAGACCCCCACTCCCCCGGGGAGAGCCTGAGCAGGGCTGGCACCTGGGCGGGCGGGGCCCGAGGCTCCCGGAGCTGAGCCGGTGTGAGCTCTTGAAGAATTAGGAGTGAGAAGGAGATTATCTCAGCCGCCCTCCGAGGAGCCCCTCGTCTCCTCCGCACCATGAATTTTAATGCACGCGTCGCTTTATCTGTCTGGAGACACACCTAAAAGTAAAATACAGCCCTCGGTGCGAGGGCCTGGAGCAGAAGTAGGCCTGTGAGCTCAGAGTGGCAATGCAATGTGTTCAGTGTGAATTCAAGAGGACGCCTAGGGACATGTGAACTCACATGCACGCAGGACTCGTCTCCAGTGTGGACAGAGGGCAGGTTGTTTTAAAAAACATGATTTTAAGAGATATTTGCTAGGCCAAAATGCTGTTTTAAAAAAGAATTCCTCCCCATGCGACTTTCTTCTTTCTTTCAAGACGTAGAGGTGATTTCATCACAAAATCCTGTAGGACGGGATGGCCTTGGGAGCAGCTAATGCTCTTCTGAGGGGCCTGTCTGTGTGTGTGTGTGTGCGCGCTGTGTGTAGAGGTGTATGTGTGTGTGTGTGTGTGCTGTGAGTGTACACGGGTGTGTCTGTGTGTCTCTTTGTGCTGTGAGTGTACACGTGTGTGCTGTAGTGTAAACATGTGTGCTGTGAGTATATACGTGTGTGTGCTGTGAGTGTAAACACGTGTCTGTGCTGTCAGTGTAAACACATGTGTGCTATGAGTGTATACGTGTGTGTGTGTGCCATGAGTGTATGTGTATGTCTCTCGTGTGTTCTGAGTATATATCTGTGTGCTATGAATGTATACATGTGTCTGTGTGCTGTGAGTGTATGCACATGTGCATCTGTGTGTCGTGAGTGTATGTGTATGTCTTGTGTGTTCTGTGAGTGTATATATGCGTGTGTGTATGTGCTCTGAGTGTATACACATGTGTGTCTGTGGGTGTTTCTGTGTGTACTGTGAGTGTATACACGTGTGTGCGCCTTGAGTGTGTGTGTGTTTCTGTGTGTGTTCTGTACGTATATATGTGTGTATGTTTATGTGTGTGTGCTGTGAGTGTATACACACGTGTCTGTGTGCCGTGAGTGTATGTCTGTGTCTCTCTGTGTGTTCTGTGAGTGTATATGTGTGTGTGTCTTTGTGTGTGTGCTGTGTGTACACGTGTGTGTCTGTGTGTGTGCTGTGAGTTTGTGTGTGTGTGTGTGTGTGTGCCGTGAGTGTATATGTGCGTCTCTCTGTGTGTTCTGTGAGTGTATACACATGTGTGTCTCCCTCTGTGTTCTGTGTGTATATGTGTGTCTGTGTGTGTGCTGTGAGTGTACACGTGTGTGTGTCTGTGTGTGGTGTGTGCTCCCTACCAGGCCCACTGCAGACCCCACGTGGCCGATGGGCAGGGCTCCCCCGGGCCCTCCGCTCACTCCCGGCTTGGCCCTCACTGCCCCGTTCTCAGACTCCCCACGTCAACAGCCAAGACATGACCTCTCCCCCTGGCTAAGGAGAGGAGGCCAGGAGCACGGGCCAGAGTGCCAGGCCCTGGCCGCCCCGGCCCATTGCTCGCACACTGGAGAAGTGGGTCGGCCGTTGAACCCCAGGTGCCCCGGGGAGGATGGAGCTGGCCGGGTTGAGACGCCGCCACTGCCACCCGAAGGGGCTGCTTGCTCAGTGGCCATTGGGCCCACCTCGGGGTCCTGACGGCTGGTGCCCAGCGTCCCTGCTGGGCTGGGCCCTGAGCGGTCTCCCTCACCCTGCCCTCCTCGCACTCTTGGCACGAGGTCCCTTTCCTGGGAGGCCCCCCGAGCCCCGCCTGCTGGCCCCCTGGCAGACACGTGGTGCCCCACGGCCGGCCTGCGCGCCTTCCTTGTGGCCGAGTCGTCGTGCTGGGTCCCGGAGGCAGGGGCCTCTGTGGCCCCACTGGGCTCCCCAAGCCTGGCTCCAGGCACTGGCTCCCAGGGACGCTCAACGACCTCCCGGGATTCCCTTCACCTCCAGGCCCCAGTCTTCTGCATGTGCCCTGGGCCGGCCCAGCGCTGACCAGAGAGGGGGCCCATGGCGCCTGGATGAGGGGGTTTATCTCCTGGAGCAGCTGTTCTTCCTGTTTCCTGCTCCTCCGCTCTTGTGGCCCCAAAGCATTTACAGGATAAGACATCACTTGCGATAAAGCGGGCTCCTCTCCCCACAAAGCCGCCAAGAGGAGGATTCTTCTCTGCAGACCACAGCGGTGGAAGCACCTGAGTCTTGCCACCAGGCCTCTTCTGATGGCAAGGATAGTGCAGGAGTAGTCACGGTTCTGAGGTCTGAGTGGACCCGGCCAGTCTGTCCCAGTGGAATTAACGGAGAATTCCCTGAGAAGTGATGCCACCGTGAGCGTTTGAGAAACATCCATCTCATCAACATTAAGTTTCCACCTCTTTGTCTTGGAAACCAACCAAGTCCAACTTACCCACAGAGCATGATATTAAGCCACTTAGGGGCGAGGGCTGCTGGATCCCCACCCCACCCTCTCAAGGACACGGAGTCTGCGTGGTCTCCAATGCACCCCAGAGCCCTCAGCTGAGCGATTTTACTAAGCAGATATTCAGTGCATGCTTGCCTCACTGAAGTGAGTCCATCCAGCCTTGGTTCTTAGATATATTCACATAGGAGAATCAGCAAAAACAATGTGGAAATGGGAGGCACCAGCTCCAGTGTTCTGGGTATTCCCAGGAGACAGAGATGGGGGTGAAGCTGAGACCCTCATCTTACAAGGATTTCAGAAGAAGCCCCTGGACCCCTCATGAATAGAGAGGACCAACCTGAATGTACTGCTGATGTCATAAAGCAATGCCCGGGGTTTATGACTTGATTTTATAAAGTATTTATGTCGGCAGATTTTATGAGTTACTCATGCTCAAGAGGCTTTCATGGCTAAGCCCATCAGATTTCTAGTTGCTTAAAAATGAGGCTGAAAAAGGTCACCTTTTTCATAGACTGAGTGATTAATAAGATTTTTTATTGCATTTGTTCAGTGCTTCAGCTCAGAGATTCATGTGCTTATAGAAAGAGGGAGCTAGGTATATGGATTTCTAGTAGTTTAAAAAGGGCATGGTTTGGGGTATGCCATGGGGATTTTGGCTTGGGGAATGCTATGGGGATTTTGGCTTGGGGAAAGGCCTTCATTTTTGTGGTTTTGTAATATGTAAATGGAAGGCTTTGTTTTTATAGTCTTTCACTAGTATAAACCACAATAGAGCCCTCTTTAAACTTCAGTCTATAAAGGGCAGGATTAATTGAGTAGCAGCTGATTAATTTAACACTGTCTATTTAGATAAATGCATTAGAGATAGTTTATTGAGGGTCTCTTCCTTCTGCAAAATAGCCCTTGGGAAGTGGCCTTCCCAGAGGCCAGGAAAGAAAGACTCTTCCATAACCTTGAATCTTGATTCAGACACTCCCGGGTCCCTCTGCAGGGGAACCCCGGCCAGCTTCGCAGCTGTGGGCAGCCTTGAGGAGACTGGCACAGTGGCCAACTCTGCAGATGAGACCCCTGGACTTAGGATCTGAGCCTGTGTTGGAAAGAGGAATTCACAGTCCACACACCCACCCCAGCGGGCCACAGTGCTCTCTCTGTGCTAAGGAGTTGTTGGTGCAAAGGCAGTTCAGATGAAGGAGCGACTCTTCCCCTGGTGCCCTCCTGCCATCACGGTGCGTGCCTTCTCCCTTCTCCCAGGTGGGGGCAGGAGCACCGCCCTGCGTGGCTGGCATCTAGTGCCTCTTTGCCAAGATGCATAGGTGGCATTGCCTGTAGCTGTAGTGGCCGCTGGGCCAGACGCATTTGGGAAGGGCTCGGTCACGTGCGGGTATGCACTGGGGTTGAGATGGCCCTGGAGGCGAAGTGCCTGAGTTGTGGCTCTGGAGTCCTGGAGACTGGCAGGAACTTCTCCATGAGACATATCCTTGCTCCTTAGGAAGCTTATCTGCTGCGTGTTCCTACGGCAACTCTTCAAAGTCTCACCAGGCACAAGCCACTGATAAGACAAGACTGAGCCATCGAGGGAGTGCCTGCTCTTTACAGAAAGATGCAGAATTCAAAGACAGGAATAAAAGTCACCGGGAGCCCTAAGGCGCGATGGGTACCATCAGTGGATACCTTTCCTTCTAGCCTTTTTATCCTAAAAACAGATGTTAAAGCAATAGCAAAATCAAACATTTGTATTATGTAGTACAATAC